TGGAGACATGGAAACGCTGCTGCTTTGCAGCTGCGTTACCCTGCTTCCTCGGGCTTGGACCCCTAATAAGCTGAGTATACTATATTAGTTGGGAACTATTTTGAGTGGTTGCATAATTCATATCTGATTTTCTAAAAATGTTTGAACACCAGCAGAAACCGTTTGTCGGATGTTTAGTCTTCAATTAGCATTGTGGCACAAAGGGATGTTGTGAAGTAAACTCATTAACATATCATTTTTGGTTTTGGTCATTTTAGCTCATTGACTAAACTAAACCTGGAATGGGACTGTCATATGAAGGAGCTGTACCACAGAAACATAGCTGTGTAGTTTACAGGCGCTCCAATCACTCTAACCAAATTAATAATAATTAATTATATAGTGATTTTACACATTGAACAGTTTTTCTTGACATGTTCAAATAAATGTAACCAACTAAGTAAACTTTTTTAACAATGACCAGCACATCATGGAAACTGGGAAACTGACATGCAGGTTGGTAATTTCCCATTTTCATCAAGCTTTCAGCCAACAAAAACAGCAAATGGTCAACTTTATAGATTAATCCTGTTTTGCCAATTATGTTTGTTTGTTTGTTTAAAATTACAGACCAGTCAAAATGCTGAAGGTGTTTGTTCAATTTTAAATTAAAGCCTTTCAACAGTCAAAAAAAAAAAAGTCTTACCTGGTGGCCTGGTGACTCCTGTGTTTCCCTACAAAAATAACAAACAAAAAGTTGGCACATTTGACTTTTTTGCACAAAACAAGCTTATTTTAGAGGTAATTGTTGGTAATGGTAGCTTACCTGAACATTTATGACCTTTGTAAACATTAAAAAAAATACAAGCCACCTGCCAGTAAACTTCAAGCAGCACATTTGAGTCATTTCACCTTCCGAACTTTTTTTAAATAGCTTTAGAAAAACAACAACGTCAAGATGAACCTCAGATCTTCAGTTAACCTGTTAAACTCCTGCTTCCTTCACTGTCTGACCAGGTGAATTTCATCAAGGAGCTGATTGAATTTCCTTTTCCTGACTGTTAATTCTTGTGCTGACCAGCAGATGACTCCACAGCATTTAATTTTTTCTCTCTGCTTCTCAACCTTTTAGTTACATTTACTGTTCAAAATTTCACCTGAAAGGTAGAGACTGTAACATTTATGGGGAATGCGTATTAGTTAAATTAGTTTATATTAGTTAAATATTGTTTTTGTATATTTCTTGGCTCCAGGTATATCCTCACTCCTCACACTTACTGTACAGTACCTGCCTTCAAACTCAGACACTGGGCCATACTGTTGCCTTCCTAAAGTCTTTAAAAAGGTTAGACACTAAAATAATATAAAAAACACACCAAATTTCAGCTCAATATGTATAGCTGAAGTGTAGTTATTTGAAATTAGCTTTGGTGGACATCTTGTTTTTGATTTTTTAAATTTAGTATCTGTTGGACATTGCTCTCAGCTACCACCACACTAAATTCCAGCAACAACACATGCACCTGTATCGAACCGTATCAAACAGTGCTTTAGGTTCAACACACACTTGTATCGAACAAAACAGATTTTTAAATTTTATTTTATCAACTTGTCTTCTGAAGATGCTCTGTGTTGAAGGATCAGTGGATCTGTGTTCGACTACTCCACCTAGGCTGTATTTTTGAGCTCAGATCCACTGAGAAACTTGCTGTTTCAGCAACATTTAACTTAAAAGCTGGACTTTCAAGGTTAAACAAATGTTCATAATTCATTTCTATAAATTACAAGTTAAGAAGGGCATGGACATTTCTCACATATGTATGAATGAGTCAAAGTCAAAAAAAATATTGAACCAAACCGAATCATGAGTTTCTTGTATTGTTGCACCCCATATATATAAATACATAATATAGTACATGTGGTGATATAGCATTAGCTGAGACATTTTTAATACGATAGCCAAATATGAACTAACGCCACATTTATTCATTTTATACATACGTATATGTATGTATGTATGTGTATATATATTAGCTCAGGCGCTAATGCAAAAGCTAACAGG